TGAAATATTATGATTGCTTGTTCCTCTTAATTCAATATCTTCATCATTTTCTCAAGTGATTTTATGTTTAGGGCGATTGGCCCGTTTGTCTGTTAGGTCTACGCATTCAAAGAGTCTGAAAGAGAATGTGTGGGTAGAAACACAAGCACCTTCCATTTATGGACAGGAAATACTACCCAGTTTGGTATACTGTGCTCTGTAGGTGTTTGAACATAGCCTCTCTTAACGGACACTCTCTATAACATACACCTCCATTTAATGCATGTATATACATGTACATGTACAGTGTATGTACATGTACATGTACATTGAATATTTACAGTGTAGCTTCTCTTAATGGTCACTCTATATTTATGCATGTACATGTAGAGCAGACACCTCCATTTAATGGACAGCACCTACTAGTGTACCAATTACATTCCTTACTGTATAAAATAGCTTCCACATAAAGGATGCCTCTGTATAACAGACAAACTTTTGTACCAAAGTGGGTAAAAGCATTCATTATAATGTAGTGGTACCACTGTATATTAGTGTTTTTATTATTATTATTTATGCATAACTAGTGACAATATTTACAACTACAATTTATTAGTATAATTATAGCATAATGTCTCGGGGCAGTCTTCAATCTTCATGTATCGAAGTGCTGTGGTTCCATTTCATGGAATGAGTTATGCAATATTTTAACACGTTATAGTTCTTGTGGTTTGTGTTTTGTCAATAGATGAGTAGGAGTCTCTCACGCACACACGCACTGCATGATTTCAGCTTGGGGTCATATTGATAGAAGATATTTCTATATTAGGCAATGGCTCCTGTCTATGTATGCACATGATGTAATGTTTGTGTAACTGTGTATGAAGGGTGTGTGCGTCTGTGTTTGGGTATGTATAGTATCAAGAGTACATAATGCCTAACAAGAGAGTGTCCAACGGCCCTATTGAGGCCTGCTAGGCCCTGCTGCAAGTGCGTGGAAACTGTGGATTTCTAGGAAGTCACGTTCAGTATACTTCTGTATATTATCAATGATAATGTTGTTATAACAACACATCTGTATAAACATTGATTGAAAACTACTGAAACATTATGTACTCTTGATAGTATGTAGCTTGTGTTATTTGTCTGTGGTATAGTAGTAGCTCTTTTATTTTAAGGATTGTGCTAGTAGCTAGAGTGGTTCAATTTTACTGGTGTAGGATTAGGAGTGAGCTGTACTTGCATCAGATTAATACAGTACATGTACATGTTGGTACTATTGTGAGATTATGTTTGATGGTCAAAGTCCATACGTGTACTTATGTTGTGTAGATCTACTTTGAGCTGGTTCCGATTTTTTTGTGTTTTTAAAAGTTATTCAAAAAATTTTGGCCTAAGATTTTGTCATCAACTGTTACAAGATAATATTTAAAATAATTATATTTTCTGATGCATATTGCCATGTATCCATATACCTTAAGCCTACTATTATTTGCGTCTACTAATTTTAGCGAAATCAGCAAAAGTCATGTTTAGCGTTACTAATTTTAGCGTTTTTAACCAAATTAACTATAAATAATAACCATTATAATGAATAATAATTTTGGCGTCTATTTAATTTAGCGGTTTAAAGCTCTCTCGCTAATATAGCTAAATTTAGTAGACGCTAAAAATAGTAGGCTTAAGGTATTTATACTATAATATTTTGAAAATACATACATTATATTCTATTTATATATTCCAAATCTCCAAAATGATCTTATTTATAATTTCTCTCTTCTTTCCCGCAGTCTCAAGGCACCATTTGTCCCAAACTCTCTTCATTCTCTCCTTCCTCCAACAATAAGAAACCTTCCTCTCTGTTCACTGAGGCAACCACTGGTCACTCATCAGGTCTTTCCTCACACGACGAAGGACCAGCTGTTTGTAACGTTGTTGTTAAAACGGAGCCTGGCCTCATCAATTCTGATTGCTCTTTAAAGAAAGCCGCACCCACTACATGTAGCAGCAGCAGTACTCCAAAGGACGGAGGTACGTGTATATGTACATGTACATGTAGGGTACAAGATGATTTATTGGTGGGAGTAATATTTGGCGAATTTGCCTGTGGAAAGAAATTGGCAAATTTTGTATTGACGATTTTGTGCCGAGCATGCTTAGTTTGAAAAAAATGGTGAATTTTATATTGGCAATTTCTTCATAGAACCGCCAATCGCCAATATTAATTCCCCGCCAATAAATTATCTTGTACGCGGTATGTATTGTAATTATTTTGGTGATGTGATATGTGGATTGTAGTTTAAATACTTTTAAAGTCGCTGTATTTCTTCAGGTTCAAGGATTGGACGTATCAGACGTCACTCAAAAGAACTTTTAAAGAACCTCCAACAAGCCCCACCCACTTCCTGCTCAAACGATGCCTCCGAAGACGGCGACCTTTCCCTCAATCCGTACGACATCATGAACGGGAAAATGTGTGCCACACCCCTTTTAATCCCGATAGAAGAGACGGAGGACGAGACCCCAAGGACGACGCCCACTCTAAAGTCTCCACCCGTTACTTCAAAACGAACAACTAGGACTCCGCCCAGTAGGGGGCATGTTACTTTCGGGAGTGATACAATACTTAAAAAGGAATTGGACGAGTTTTCAAAAGTTATGAATTTTGTGGAAAAGCAGGAAAAGGCGAAAGAGCTGAGGGTAACATCCCCTTTTCTTCCCTCCCCTGTTCCCTCATCCCTCCCTCTAACTTCCCCTTACTCTATGGGAGTCCCTCAACAGAACTCCAATCATCATCTTGTCTCGCCACCTCCTCCTTACTCTGTCGCTTCTAACTTCCCCCCAGGACCAGGCTATTTAAGAAGCCCATTGTCCTAGTCATTACAATAGCTACGTCACTTCTCCCGACACGCCCTATTCTCTAGAGCCACGCCCACTCCAACACTTGCCCTCATCTACTCTCTCTCAGATCGGGAACCTCCTTTCTTCCCCGGTCTCTTCCACCGCTCCTTCACAGCCGCTCCCTAATCACATGTCGACGTTTGACTTTCCCTCTCATCAGCCTGCCCCACCCCCTCCCGGATATCATCACCACGGCAACGGGATGTTCCCCAATCAGATGTACCCCGTCCCCCATCACCCTCCTCCTCCTCCTCATCAGTCAAATAATGTTGTGTGGAACGGATACTCACCTGTTGCAGGACAGAAAAGGGCGTTGCCTCATGTTGGAGGAGATTACGTCACGCCTTCACCTAAAATGTCTCATTGTCCTTCGTCAATGATGAACTATCCTTTGGTACCCAATCAGCTCCAGAACCCCTGCCCACAATTTCCCCCTGGGGAGACACCCTCCTTTTCGCACCTTTCTTAAATATGCATGGCCCCCTTCCCTGTTTTTAGGTGATTGACATTTTAAACTATTATTGTTTATTATTATTATTATTGTTATTGTTATTATTATTATTATTATTATTATTATTAAGGCTTTATTAATTAATTCAGTATATGATAGTTTGTTATTTTCTGTTGTTTAATTTTTTCACTTGATTAATGATTCACTCTGCACTGTGTAGCACAGTCTAAAGACTTGTTTATACAACTTCACATGTTAATGCTCTATTGTCACTGCACCCTCAATTGTTACTACATTTTTTGATACATACTGATGTGTTTATGCTGTGCAGAAAGTTTGAACTAGTTTCAACTTAAAATTTTTGAGTTATGGCTATTTTTAGCCATTTTCTGAAAAATGTCTGTGCATGGTTTTTTCCGAAAAATGGCTCCAAAACTACTCCAGATTTTTATTACATTTTCTGATACATATTGATGTCCTTATGCTGTGTAGAAAGTTTGAATTGATTTCGACTTCAATTTTTCGAGTTATGACTTTTTTTAATGAGCTATTTTAAAAAAATACCCTGTACTATAGCCCATGGTTTTTTTTCAAAAATGGCTCCAAAACCACCCCAGATTTTTATTACATTTTCTGATGCATATTGATGTTCTTATGCTGTGTAGAAAGTTTGAGTTGATTCCGACTTCAATTTTTTGAGTTATGGCCATTTTTAAAATGAGCTAAAAATACCCTGTACTATAGCCCATGGTTTTTTCCAAAACTGGCTCGAAAATCACCTCGGATTTTTATTACATTTTTGATACATATTGATATCCTTATGCTATGTAGAAAGTTTGAGTTGATTCCGATTTCAATTTTTCAAGTTATGACCATTTTTAAAATGAGCTATTAAAAAAATACCCTGTACTATAGCCCATGGTTTTTTTTTCAAAAATGGCTCCAAAACCACCCCAGATTTTTATTACATTTTCTGATACATATTGATGTACTTATGCTATGTAGAAAGTTTGAGTTGATTCCGACTTCAATTTTTTGAGTTATGGCTATTTTTTAAAATGAGCCATTTTCTGAAAAATATCCTGTACTATAACCCATGGTTTTTTTTTCAAAAATGGCTCCAAAACCACCCCAGATTTTTATTACATTTTCTGATACATATTGATGTACTTATGCTATGTAGAAAGTTTGAGTTGATTCCGACTTCAATTTTTTTGAGTTATGGCTATTTTTTTAAAATGAGCCGTTTTCTGAAAAATACCCTGTACTATAGCCCATGGTTTTTTTTCAAAAATGGCTCCAAAACCACCCCAGATTTTTATTACATTTTCTGATACATATTGATGTACTTATGCTATGTAGAAAGTTTGAGTTGATTTCGACTTCAATTTTTTGAGTTACGGCTATTTTTAAAAATGAGCCGTTTTCTGAAAAATACCCTGTACTATAGCCCATGGTTTTTCCCCAAAATGGCTCAAAAATCACACCCAATTTTTATTACATTTTCTGATACACATTGATGTCCTTATGCTGTGTAGAAAGTTTGAGTTGATTCCGACTTCAATTTTTTGAGTTATGGCCATTTTTAAAATGAGCTAAAAATACCCTGTACTAGATCTATAGCCCATGGTTTTTTCTAAAAAATGGCTCCAAAACCACCCTAGATTTTTATTACATTTTCCTAACAACATAGCTGTGTTTTATATAGCCCACGGTTTTTTCCAAAAATGGCTCCCAATTCTATTACATTTATTGATGTTGTCAAGCTATGGTCATTTTAAAAATAATGCCATATTCTGAGAATGCTTTAAAGTGTGGGAGGTAAATCTAAAGTTTAGCATGAATCATTTTACATCATATTATTATGAATAATATGATGAATGAATCATATTATGAATATTATGAATCATATTATTATATCCCTCAATCCCTGCAACAATTGACTAAAACTAGTTAATATCTGCTTCAATAGTTCCAGTAAGGTGCCACGTGTGATCTCTATAAAATTGAAAAAAATGATTAATAACGAAAATATTTACTTACCAGGATAAAAACGGTCTAATAAAAATAAGACTTGGCCAACCAATACAATCACTAACAAGAATATTAAAAGAAGACACAAGATACGTCCTATAACAATAAAATATTAGCAGTTAGGAATTGTTGTTTAATTTTAAATTTTGTTTACCTAATGTTCTATCGGGGAAATGATTTTCTATATAAAACATTGACATTATACAAATTACAATCACACAAAAACTGATAATTTCTCTTGTATATCGTTGCCAGAAATTACTAACTATAATATACAGTAAAAACATATTAGTGAATTTTGATATTAAAAATATCCCATAACAATGCCCAGCAATTTAGTTATTAACTTCCAGTAGATTATTGTTACAACTAGTGCATGATAAAATTAGGCAGAAATAATCTTTTGTTCCGTAATTACATATGCTAGAATTGTGAAAAGCAGAATACCGATAAATAAAAAAAACGCTAATGTATTTTTTGATTTCTTTGAAATGTTGCAAATAACTAACTATAGTAAGTATAAGATACTAATTAAATTATGATTACTTGAAGGTGTTATGACTGGAATAATTTTTGGGCTTAGAGCACCTTTTAATGGAAAACTCAAATTTTCAGAAGTTGGCATTTGATACCAACTCTTCCACAGTAGTGTAAATTTCATAGTGCTTCTATTAAAATTTTGCAAATCCTCTTTATAACACTAATAAAATCAAATAATAATAATAAATACTTATAATACTTACAACAAGAGGATACTTTCCAACAACTTCCCAATTTTGAGAAGGATTAAACCATATATCCATGCAGCTCCAATTTAGTGCTATTCTCTTCAAATTTTATTACATCAAAGTTTGAATTTGTTGAGTTCTACATGAAAATAAATCTCAACAGTATGTGGTAAATTGTAACTTACAAAGAGTTCTAACCAACATTGACCAATCACATATTTGTACTCCCAATGATAATTAATTGAATAATTATCAGTATCACAATGTAATGATCCACAAAATGTAACTTCATCACTCTGTACATTATCACCACTGAAGTGGTCAGCTGAAAAGTAGACGTAATTTCCACTAACAGTGGCATTAGGAACTTCTTCAAAGATATAGGACATATTTCTAGTTGTCATCAGCAGTATAAACTTTAATTATTGCTTTTTCACTAGCATAATGTCAAATTCCTAGTTGCAATGGTTTAAGGAACTCCTTACTACTAGACAACCAATACACAGGGCTGGCAGCTGCCATAGTGTGATTATAAGGATAAACATAGGGACCAGCTACACTCAAACGAATATTAATAACAGAAAAGAGACCAGCTGGAATAGCATCAGGAGGAGGAACAATGATGAGACCAAATTCTTCTAAATGAAATCTACTCAATATGCCACCTGGTACAACAACATTGGCATGGTACTTCTGGTAACTTCAACGCCAGGCAGAGGAGCTATTGTATATAGTCATTATAGTTATATTCATGATGCATGTATAATCTTACCAATAAAACTGCTTTGTTCATAGTTTTTTTAAATAATAATAATAATAATAGCAAAGCTAATTGTTGAAATATTGTACAGTATTATAGACGGTGGTCGATAAAAAATTTAATATAAGAGAAGGAAAGAGAAAGTTTTAGGGGAGGGGAAAGATAGTTCCATTGATTAATTGTAGATGGATAAAATGAGTTTGAGTATGTAGATGTCTTGCAAGTGATCTGAGAAAAGTTGCCGTTATTATTAGATCGAAGAGAATAGCAGGAGGGAGCTTTAATTTGTAGAGGATGGAATGGGGTAAATGAAAGATTTTCTTTTATCTTAAAAAGCAGGACAATTTTAAATTTAAATCGCCAATGAGACAGGGAAGTAAGGTGAGAGAGATTTAGGAGATGATGGTATGGGATAGACCATGATTTGAAGGCTATTTTTAACTTGAGCCAAAATGCTGAACAGCCTCCAGTTGTGATGAGACTGTAGGAGGATCCCAAATTGAGGAAGCGTACTCCAAAATTGGCCGAACTAGTGTCACATATAGATGAAGAATAGTCTCTGTAGATAAATGCCTGTAAAAGTTGCGATAAATTAGTGCAAGGACTTTCTAGCTTTTTAAATTATAAACGATATGTGTTTGCTCCAGGAAAATGTAGGTGTAAGGATTAGGCCAAGATATTTATAGGAAAATACAGGATCAATAGGTGATTGATTTAGATAAAGGAGAGGAAGGGTATCGAAGACTGAGTGACATGAAAGAAAAAATATCATGTATTTTGTAAAAATAATAAAAGACAGAAATACAATCAATGACAATCCAGGTTGATCATCCTCTAATGGTTGGCTGAGATCTTCTGGTTTGTGACTCATTGCTTTTGCTGGTTTTCTGTCATATCTAGCTCTTCCTTTAACTCAGCAAATTCTAACACAATATTAAAAATTACGAATAATAAACTTTTAAACTATACCTTTTTTTGCAGCATCTAGCTCTTCCCTTAAAATAATATTGGCTATCATGGGAATGGTAACACAAAATTAAAAATTACGCCGAATAATAAACTTTTAAACTATACCTTTTTTTACAGCATCTAGCTCTTCCCTTAAAATAATATTGGCTATCATGGGAATGGTAACACAAAATTAAAAATTACAAATAATAAACTTTTAAATTATACCTTTTCTTGCAGCATCTATACCTTTTCTTGCAGCATCTAGCTCTTCCCTTAAAATAATATTGGCTATCATGGGAATGGTAACACAAAATTAAAATTTACGAATAATAAACTGTTAAACTATACCTTTTTCTAGAGCATCTAGCTCTTCCTTATCGACTAAAAAATTAATGGCAAAACAAAATTGGAAAAAAGCATTCAGATACATGTAGGATTCTTCAATTGGCTTATAATAACTTACACTCATCTATCTCAGAGGGCCATTCTATCTCAGAGGGCCATTCTATCTCAGAGGGCCATTCTATCTCAGAGAGCCATTCTTGAATCTCTATATCCAAATAAATTTTAAGAATTAGTATTATATCACTTATCATAATTGTATCAAATCTTTGTACTGACAAAATTTATACAAAAATAAAAATAAAAAATAAACCTTGTTTTGAAAAGTGACTTCCATATCCAGATGACGATGCTGTGGAATTTTTATGCAACTAACTGTAAAATACAAAATGGTAAAATTGAAATACCTCTATCATCAACTTCTTCAATGGAACTTGCCTGCTCTTGATTAAATGTTTTTAACCCTGAAGTGTAATGACACAATGACCATAATTTTACATTGAAGTGCACTTAGTACACAAAATTGTGACTTTCAATAAATTAATAGCTTACTGATTTGAGCAGCTACTGCTTTCTCACCAATTCCCTCAAGAGCATCACATAAAGTGGTCATTGTTGGTTTTCCTTTGGCATCAACATGATCAGCTCTTATTAACCACTGTGATAGACACTCTATGAGACAATGTTTTCTATTTCCATAATGATTAGCATCAATAACATCCAGTGTTTGCTGATATAATCCTAAAGCCAAACCGAGGGGTATCCATTGCATCGGTGGGAAGGAAGCTTCATTCAATGTGACAAATACATACTCTAAATCACTAATTTGTAAGAGAGGGCCTATGGAGTATTAGAGCATTAAGTTAATTTTTATTATTAGGATTATTTTGTTTATGATACCAATTGCAAAAATTATATAATTAATGCCTGCATGCTTTCACATCAGTGTGCAAGGATACTTTAAATTCTAGATTAACAACAATTTTTCATAATTTTACCAATTCAAAAAAATAAACTAAAGTATCATGCAAGGGCCTTTATTAGAATTTGGAAAAGAACTGAGCTAATCACATGATGCTTTTGACAAAAGTGTGATACTTAATTAATGCAAATCTGATCTTACCATTCTCAATTAGTTCGTCAATACGCCACAATTATTGGGGCGAGCCTGAGCTCGCCCCACTAAGGCGAGAAAGCGTTTGTTTGTTTGTACGGGCAGACCGTCTAACTATTATTAAAGTTAAATAGCTTAATCTTTATTGAAAGCGGGTGTGGCCGGTCACAATGATAAAATGGCGGCTATAAGCAAGTCTGAGCTTATTTTGTAGGAAACGGTCAGCTAGATAAGGCTAAACTGCTGTCTGAAACTTCTCTAGCAAGAATAAAAGTTGGGAAAGCAGATATACAGTCTTTTCCTTGGTATAAAGGATTCTGCTAAGGTGAATGCAAGTGAGAAAGCTGCATGTACTGTACTGCTATAGCTGCTTGCATCATGAGATCTATTCTAGGTGATGTTTCTTCTCTAGGAGCAAGCCTAGGTTAACAAAGCAGATATATAATCTTCAAATATGATTTGTTCAGTGACTGCTTCTAACTATAAGCAAGATATCTTTAATTTAAGCAAGATGACTACAAGATACTGAATTTAGACATGTGCAATTGCTTTGCTAGCTCATACAGCACATAATCTATAGCTTGCTTAGGCTCGCCCCTTTAATGTTTTACATTCGTCTAATAATATATAATTGGGGCGAAGCCCACTAAGATGAGAGTGAGTTTTTATGTACGGGCAGGTTGTCTAACTATTATTAAAGTTAAATAGCCTAATTTTCATTAAATGAGGGTGTGGTCAAAATGAAATAAAAATGGCAGTTATTAGCTCATTTGCAGTAAATGGTCAGCAGCATTCTACTAAACTGCTATTCAAAATCTTCTCTAGCAGCAAGGAAGGTCATACAGCACAACAATAGAGTTGCTCGTGGGCTGAGCCCCTTTAAATGTTTTACATTCTTCTAGTTATTATAAATTATAATAGTATTATTAAGAATAAGTGGCTTAAGCTGTCTGCTCATACCTTCTGGTCCTCCCAATCCCATCTCTTCAACTACAGTTGCCAACAGCTGCATTGTGGGTAGACCATATTTATCAACGTCATAACTCTGCTGGAGCCAAAGAATTAGACATCTTCTAAGACATCCTTTCACATCAAGAGGATTATAAGCTCTAACTGAATCGAGCTTTGGCTGACTGATGTGTAGCTTAAGACCTAGCTCACTCCATCTGTCCTCTGGAAAATTACTCCTCTCTAATTTAGTAACAACAAAATTTAGATCATAAATACCTATAAATGTATAATATAACAGCAACTGTATAAAGCAAAACACTAACTTAAAACAGATCTAGGGTCATCCATCTTCACACTAGTCTAATCAATTATCAGGTCACATGATTATCATGTGACCTGATAATTGATTAGACTAGTATCAAAATCAATTAAATTGATTTTGATAACTTTTCCAAATATTAATGTTAATATTCCAAAATGGCCCCAAAATTACCCCAAATTTTTATTACTTAATCTACCGACAGTTCTACTCCCTCTCCTCTTCAAAAACCCTTCTGTCCCTCTACACCACAATAGTTCGTCCTGTACTTGAGTATGGTTCTTCAATCTGGGATCCTGCCTCAACCTCTCTTTCCTCATCATTAGAATCAGTACAGCACTTTGCTCTGAAAATGATCCTAAAATCTTGGTCCGCCCCCTACACTGATCTTCTCTCCTCTCTCAACTTAAGTACCTTGGCACACCGTCGACAAAGAGCTAAGATCATGATGTTTTTAAAATAAATAATGGTCTCATTCACTCTACCCTTCCTTTGACTCAACACCCTCCCCCTCCTCCAATGTCTCTCCGTCATTACTGTCCTCAAAACTATGCCATCCCATTTTGCCATACATCCTCCTATCTACATTCCTTCCTTCCCTCAACTATAAAGCTCTGGAACTCTCTCCCAACTAAAGTAAAACAATCAACCTCAATCTCTTACATAAAATTTTATTTGGACAGTGAATTTTAATTCTGATTTATTAATTCATTTGTTTAGTCTCATTATCTCTATATTATTTAATTCTGTTCTATTTCCTACTCTTCTTTTTGTTAGCTTTGGCTATTTTCACATAAAAAAATTACATTTTTTGATACATATTGACGTCCTTATGCTATGTAAAAAGTTTGAGCTGATTCTGACTTCAATTTTTAAAGTTATGATCATTTTAAAAATATATTTTGCTTTTTTTCCAAAATGGCCACAAAAGCCCTCCCAATTTTATTAACATATGTGACCATAATTGACAAAAGGGCCCTTATGGCGGATTTTAAAATTGATCGTTATAATGGAAAATATCAACCTGTGAGTGCTTTGTTAGACAATCATTGTTTCTAAGTTTCATGGTAACTTTTTGCATCCTGTGGAGTAATTTTATGATAAATGGAGCTCAGGAAGTTGGATTTCTTAGGCTAGAAAGACAAATTTCACTACCCGCCATAAGGTACCTTTTGTCAATTATGGTCACATATATTATGCGTATTATGCAGCCTATTTGCATAATCCTATTGTGTGTTAAAAAATCTCTCTAAAAAGACAAGAAAAATTATGACAGTTATAAAAACAGAATATATCTTATGTTGGTTAACCAACATAAGATATATTCTGTTTTTATTATGATGTCTTTGTCACTGATAATATTCAGGCTACACAGGTTGATCATTACCACCATTGCTACAAAGTAACTCTTCAGCATCTCCATTATTATTCTGAGCATTTTTATAATTCTTATATTCTGCTTTAGCCAAACCAATAGTAATCCCTACTAGTAGAACAGGAATAGCTTGAGAGAGTGCACTCACCACCATGTAATTATCAACAGCTGCAAAGAGGACAACGTTGACATAAGAGAAGAAAAACAACATAAAAAATATGATGAAGAGCACAAAAAGGATAACTGCATAAGGTAAGTTGGGGAAGCTGATCTTTCCAGTCTCCAATCCTTCAATGGTGTGCACAATGGAAAAGAATACGGGGACCATTATGGCCAATAAAAAGATTATTTTGTTCAGAACTTCTAGAGGATTCACCAAACTAGCTATAGCTATGCCACAGATGTGGAAGCTAAGCAAAGAGGGCAAGAGTGTCAGGGTATTAATGACAAGGAACTGAACTAAGAAACTGAGAGGACATTTCATATTTCCAAAGCAAGACAGCAATTTTGGAAGCTCAATCAAGTTATTGGAGCGATAAGTCTTGATTGTCATGAAGAGCGAGAATCCAACATTAATGATGATCAGAGATACCAAAACAATGAAAGTTGAGACTGAAACTCCAATTATTACATTTGCATGTTTATAGGCCACTGCAGACTTAATGAAGTTATGAAAGTCAAGCCCTAACACAATAAAAATGCATCCAGCCTGCATGAAAATTGTAGCCCAGAAAATGCTTCCAAACAAAAGCAATTGCTCCAAGTTGAGCAGAAGCAACAAGACACAGAACAGAAACACACAGGACATAGAGGTAGTTGTATTCACTGTATTCTTTGATTACTTCAAAGTGATCATCTTCTCGATAAATGCTATGACCTTCAAACTGAGGATTGATAGACCTTGCAGCTACATAAGACCTCAGCTACAAGAAAACAATTATGATACAAAATATTTACTTTAAAATGCATGTAGGTGCAGTAGCTATACATTATTGTTGTGTAATTTTGCAGCATGTAGTGTTCAAGCATGTGTGCATTATACTTTGATAGCTGCATACCCAAACTGTAGCATCATTCAAGATGTGAATAGTTTCTTCATGATCAATTCCTTCACAGAAAGATGGAATCATAAGCCTGGACTCTGAGTGAGTGTAGTCATCATTGAAAAACAGAAGGGACATTCCTTCCAGTATCAGAGGATGCAAGTAAACCAGGACAGGAGAGCTAGACCAGTAGAATGTATAGTTTTCATTAGAGACAGAGTCATTGGTACTGTAGATCACCTTCACCCATAGTGCTGGGAAGTTGTTTGAAGGATAGAAGGCTCTCATTAAACTCTGCAAGTTCTCACCACTTGAGAGAAAAGCAGACTCAAGATCAAGCATTGTCTGAATGCAGGCTCCTGCATCTGAAGCAGCTACTTTAAAAGGTAAGGGAACCACAAATAGCAGAATGAGAAAGAGCAACATGTCTGATTAAGAGCCCAGTAATAATGGAAGAGACTGGTTTACAATGCCTTTGGCTAAATTATTATAATATCAATAAATTATGTATTTACATAACCAATACAGTAAGCTACTAGCTACTCTTGCCTTTGATCACTTCTTACAACATTGATCTCTATAAACAAGCTGCACAATCATGCATTAAAATGACTATAAGGTGTGTGTTCGTTGATGAGTGACCCCATACACTAGTGTACACTGCATTCATTTCAAAAGAAAAGGAATGACAGATAAGGCAATCTCACTGTCATAACAAGGTCATCCTGGATGACTTATCTCACTTTTATCCTTCACTCCCTTTCCCATCTCACTTCCAGTAATAGGCAGTGAGTATACACTTGCAAGAGTCTTAATTACTATCAACACAGCCAAGCTTGACTACACAGCAAAAAAATTTGTTTAAAACTACCCTTAGAGGGTTACTTCAGTTCTGGAAGTGTATTGTTTAGTGAAACTGAGGTAACCACCTATGGGTTGTTTTAACAGCATATTTTTTGCAGTGTAGTAAGCAGTCAACACAAATTTCAGTTCCATTAACTTCAACTTTAACTAAAACACCTTTAAGAAGATGAAGACTGATTTTTTACTTAACAGAAACAAAAAGCATACTTTTATAATTATCAGAGACAAGTGCTGTGCCTTGTGGTGCTGACATTCCTTTGATCATGTTCATAACTTCATTTCCGTTTTAAAAGGCACATCAATATAGCTTTACCTGTAATGATCATCTGATATGACCATGATTTTTGAATGCATATTGTACTTGCTATTATTATGTTCATCCTATCCATAAGTGCATTTGTAGTAGGATTAATAGCCAACGCAGCAAAACTATAATAAGCTGACCAGTTTTGATAAGCAATGTGAACCAATGGCATATAGACTGTATCTTCTTGAAATGGTTGACTGGCAGTCTAGCACACTGCACACATGAATGTCCACCTCCCCATCCTTGGTATGTTAATCATATATCACTGGTGGTTGTAACAACAATAATCAAAGCAAAGAAAAAATTGAAAATCAACAGTTTCATGATGGTATAAAAAACAAGACTATTTCTTTTATGCTTTAAAATAATTACTACTCATAATGAAACTAGAGTTGCTGACTATTTTTACTTGATTTTGTAATAAAGTCGTGCATGAACAAACATTGCAAGTGAAAGCTAAAGTTAGTGCTTGCTAAGCATAGATAACTTCATTGGCATAGATAAAAACAGACTGTACTATATTGATTAATGAGATTTCAATAATAATTATTTAGGAAAAGTTGCATGAAAAGAGAAGCACCAAAAATAATCAAAAAAGGCCTAACAAAAATAGTCCTAACAAAAAGTCCTATAATTATTGCTTCTACATGCACTTATTATACTAAGCCAGTTCACTACTTGTTGCATCCAAGATCAATGGGTGCTATATATGAGATATCTTCAAGTGGACATCCTCCTTCATTATTCACACCAAACCCACTGCATCCCAGTCCATTGGTCCAGGGTTGGTAAGGGAGGCTCCCAACACCTCTATCATACCTTGGCTTGTAACAGCTATGCGGTGGCCACCACCGGTAGCAGTATAGACCCATGTCACTGTAATCTTTTCCACAGAATTTGCTGCAATATCCCCAGCAAAGGGTGGCAACTCCGATGTAGTACTCTTTGCATTTAGGATAGCAGAGACCAGCATCATATTCCTGACTTGAAGTGCATCCATTCCTTGCACATGTCCAGCTTGTTGTGCGTAATGGGAAATCTTTATTAGCAAGAAGTGAACATTTCTTAAAGCAATTTCCAGCAAACCGCTCCTCATCATCAGCACAACCAATAGTATAAGCAGCTAAAAACTTTGTTCCACATGCCTTTTTAACTACAAATGAAAGTAAACAGTACAGACTCTAGTTGCAAAAGTCTTACCATTAACACAGAGGACCTTGGATCCCCTATCGTAAGCACAAATATCGTTTCCTTCAAGTTTAAGTTTAATATCTGTATCAACTTTAAATTTTAAAGATTGGTTTTAATTCAATAGAAACAAAAATACTTTCTTGTAAAAGTGATGTTCCTTCTTCTGGCGGTGAAGTCTCGTTATTCATGTTTGTTACTTTGTTTCTGTTACTAAGGTCACATGAATAATGTACAATAGTATACACACAATACATTATACCTGTAATGATCATTGTTGTAAGACTTTGTGCCTATCATAGAAATAACATACAATGAACATACATTAACACATACAGCTATTGACATACTTGGCATAGCCAGAACACAAACACTGAGAGTCATAAAGAACAATACAAGAGTCTTCATCATGATTTTCTTTTAGTTGTAACTTGCTCACTGCATCAAAAAGCACCTCTTTATATAGCCTGCTGAACATGAGGCATGCATCATGTAGCTCTTGTTACAAGCACGTGTCAAAAACACCTTAATGTTTGACACGTGTGCCTGGTATTATTTACAACTAAGTACACCTAATAGTACATAATAGTAAGCTACCCAAAATATTGGTGTTAGACATTGTGGCTCTCATGACGCCACATGTTTGCCCTGGGTCCATACTATTATTTACAACTTCTAGTGCATCACAATGCCCCATTGTATTTTTCTTTGTTACATTCTTCCTCATTCATTGAATCAATCATCAACTTGCAAGGCATGGATTATATACCATAAATGGAAATGTAACCCAATCCATTGGTAAGGTAGGGTACCAGCACCTCTATCATACCTTGGCTTGTTGTAACACCAATCACTTACAACATTGATCTCCATTAAAAAGCTGCACAATCATGCATTAAAATTACTGTAAGGTGTGTGTTGGGTTGATCAGTGACCCCATACACTAGTGTACACTGCATTCATTTCAAAAGAAAAGAAATGACAGATAAGGCAATCTCACTGTCATAACAAGGTCATCCTGGATGACTTATCTCACTTTTATCTTCCACTCCCTTTCCCATCTCACTTCAAATAGCTATATAGCATGATTAAAATAATTATTATAATAACAATAAGTATGTGTCAATAATAAAATTATTCAAAATCACTTTGAGCATCAAAATAATAATAATAATAATAATAATAATAATAATAATAATAATAATAATAATAATAATAATAATAATTGATTAAATTTATTGATTTATTAAAATTTCACATTCACACAAAATGACAAAAAAGTCCTCCGGTTAATTTTAAGAGTCACACAGAAACTCTGACTCAATCCTGTACTTGTTCACAGGCTGTAAGGACTGGGTGGGTGATACGAGGGCCTGAGTTTTAGAAGATGTTGACTGATACTCCCACACCATAATGCAGCCAGAAACCTCATCGGAATACTCTATACTACATAGAACCTGGCGAAAGAAACAATTATAGTCTGTGGGTTTTTGCGAAAAATTATTTCAGCTAACAAGTTTCATTAGATTATTCATAGCGTAGAGAATCAATTGGGGAGGCGTGGTCCCTACGCAATTAATCACACTATAATAATTATCACTACCAAATGGACAGCTAATGTATTTGAAAGGTTTTGTCTTAGCACACAAGTACTTGAGCTGGTTCTAATTACATTTTAAAAGATGTGCGTTTAAAAATGCGCAAATCACCACAAGGTACATATAAATTAGATAGTTGATTGGTTTAAATATTGGTAATGCAGACAATTTTGTACCACAAACTTTTGCCAAAGAATGAGTTTCACTGACCTTCAAAGACGAGGGAAAAGGTGTGATCCCCTTCACACGTCCGTCCCCGCAATACTGGAAACCTTTAATGGCCGTCTCTTGCTCCTGGTTCTCAATAGCGGAAGCATCAAGAAGGAACAAGTACCCACTCCTGGTACCCAGCCACACTGCATGACCTCTCACTACTAGAGCAGTAATCTCATTAAACTCGCCTTTTAAGATATTCCTGTATCAAAAACAAGTACAGTAATTTAATAAATATATACTATATTACAATGTAGTCATTATTTTTTAAATTAAAGCGGAGAAACATGAAAATGCAATGAAATGAGTTATGAGAAAGAAATTGTTGGGGTTATTGTTATTATTATTATTTTATTCATTTATTTATTACTATCATTATTATTATTATTATTATTAATTACCGGACATTAAACGATGCTTTCAATTCCCCATTTTTGATATCCCACAGACGTAGCACTGCGCTCCTCCTAGCAACAGACCACACCCCCTGCCTGTTCAAACCAGAGTATATAATAACCTCACCCTTTACAGATGAGGCTGAGGCCCCTCCCCCTCCGTTACTATAGGAGCAAACATTACGACGTACCGACTTCATAGCAGGAAACTCAAAAACTTCGAAATTATCTCCACAAGCAGTCCAGAGGTGACCATCGGTACCAGCGTTAATACCAAGGCAAGGTTTCCTGTTGAACGTAGTCACTACTCTCCGAGGACCTTGGAGAGGGTTCTCTAGAAGACGCTCTTGGTTTCTGCCAGAGAATATTATAATAGTTCCGTTAGCAAGACCGACTAGGGCCTTGTAGTCGTACTCACTCTGAGAGGAAGAGGGAGGGGGAGGAGGGGTGGAGTTCATTATCTTTAAAGAGAGGACGGCGTCTTGTAAATGAATGTAATGATGAGACTTGAAGTCAGGGAGGTTGAATACGTACACGGATCCCATGAGCCCATTCTCTGTCCCCACCCACACCTGACGAGTATATGTACAAACATCAATGGCAGTCGCATGGCCGACCGCTATCGGTATCGGTTTACCACGTCTATTAGCAAACAACCCTGACTCTGGTCTAGGGGCTTCTGCTAGGATCTTACTATACAAGGTACCTTCATCTGGTTCTATGTTACCGATGACAAGACCACGAGAGCCAGAGGCCCAATAGACGTAAGGAGACGAGGGAGAAGTGAGCAGTACCTCCATGTCTAGCGTCAGCTTGAGAGGTGACCAGTTATTTTCACCAGCACAGAGACTCAGTCTCGATTCCAAGCCTCTAAAAGTGAGTTCTCCCATTCCAATACACAGTTGTATCACTGACTGCATGCAGAGTTTATAACAAGCTTTGACTTGGGACTGGTTGTGTTTTAGGTCAGCCTCCACGTTAAGGACGAGCTGCTGATGATAGAGGGCAAGGATTAAGGTTGGTAGTGACATGATGTCCTCATAAGCACGTCGGTGAAGTGTTAGCTCATAAAGAAAGAGGCCAAACATTATGAGATTAAACTATGAAGGGAGAGAGAGAGAGAGTAGGAGAGAAGAGAAGAGGAAGAATAGATATTCGTTGTCTTATAATTTAATCCTTTTTCTTACTCTAAACATTTTTGCTTTCCTGGTTGAAGCGGTTACAGTCGTATTTAATGTAGAACAAAGCTAAAAGAATAAATGAATAAATATTTTATATGTCATTACGAGACACATATGACATCATCACTTACAATACAGTCGGCTGGTGAGTGCAGTAAACCAGAGTCTGAGAGCTTTACGGTGACTGGTTCCAGTAGCCAGAGTAACACATTGTCACATGTCAGACAGTGATAGTTCAAGCTATTAGTGTCCAGATACTTAATGGCACTTAACACCTGTATCAAGAAAAATTATTAAAATGAAGAATTTTTTGCTAGTCATTTGTGGCAAAATTCGGCCAAAGTCACTGTACTATAGTACAGGGATTTTTTTTGAGCAACTTTAAAAATTCGTTAAAAATCCAGATTTGATCGGAATCAGCTCAAACTTGCTACACAACATAGGAACATGTATATGTATCAGGAAAAATCATAAAAATGAAAAATTCTCTCCTGGTGAAATTTGGCCAAAGTCACTGTACTATTAGTAACGCGGTAGCGTTACTAAGTAGGATTCACCCCCAAACAAAATGGCTGCCACGACTTTTGCAGCCTTGCTATTAGTACAGGGGCTTTGGCCCGATTTTAGAGCAACTTTAAAAATTCGTGAAAAATCTAATTTTGATCAGAATCAGCTAAAACTTGCTACACAACATAAAAACATGTATATGCATCAGAAAAAACTATAAAAATTAAGAATTCTCTCCTAGTCATTTTTGGCAAAATTTGGCCACTGACCCTATACTCTTTGGCCCAATTTTTGAGTAACTTTAAAAATTTGTAAAAAATTCAATTGTGATTGGAATTAGCTCAAACTTGCTACACAACATAAAAGCATATGTATCTGGAAAAATCATAAAAATTGAGAATTCTTCTCTTTAATTTTGGTAAAATTTGGCCTGGGACTATGCACTATTATATAGTGTATGCAGCGGCCCATGCTTCTTCCAAAAAATGGCTTCAAAATCCCCCCCAACTTTTATGTACATGTACATTATAATGTCCTTTAACTATAACTAGTCGATTTTGTTGAGAAAAAAATGCCAAATTAAAAAAATACATGCATGAGCTTTAAAGTTTTTCCATAATATTAATGTGTTCCACTATTCTCCTATCATACATGTACATGCACATTAACCTGTAATGCAATCTGGTGTACTCCAGACTGTAGTAACTTGTTCCCATCGTTGAGGTATTTACGTACAGACCCAAGGGGAGACAGTTCTAAGGCCAGTACTGGTACACTGTAATGGAATCCTAGCGATGATATGATGTGAGGTGTAGAGAGGTTCTTTAGCAGATCGAAATCTTGATACAATTTAGTGATGTGCTTCTTTAGATAAAACTAAAAAACAAAGAATTGGAAAAACAAGAAAATTCAAACTATTCTCTTTCTCTCTCCCTCCCTCTCTCCCTCTCCCTCTCCCCCCCTCTCCCTCCCCCCTCTTTCTCTCTTTCTTTCTCCTCTCTCTCTCCCTTACTGTTTTTTGAGCCCCCTTGTGTCTCTTAGCAGGCTCCATTATTTTTTCGCTAAAGTAATGACGTAGGAACATTCCCTTCGACTCGTTGACCTTTATCCCTATCATGTGACTCTCGAGAGGTGTGATAAAACTCTGGGCGGGGCAGTCAGCAAAAAGAAGGTCGGGCATTAGACCCTGAAAATCCAACTTTCCACTTCGAAGTTGCTGGGCTGGCGATTTGAACGACTCTTGCAAACATTCCCATGCTGGTACCAGGTATTGGATTTGAGTCTGAGTCTCATCAATGACCTGCCGTCCGCCTAAGGAACTTTGAGGATTTGATCTTATAGACCCTGGATCAAAATTGGGCACTTCTTCTGAACTAACACTTGATGGAAGAGTACCTAAAATAAGTACAAGTATATTGAGATTTAAGTTTCTTTCTTCACTTCTCTATCTTTCTATCTTAAAATCATTCTTTTCTAACTGTCACCTTCTTTCTCTCTCTCCCCCCCTCTCTCTCTCTCTGTACATGTACATGTACATGCAGTTACCTGTTGCTCTTATGCTAGCAAAAGCTTCATGAAGAGTTCCCTGTATACTGCTAAAGGACTGGAGACTAGTACTATCAACTATAGACGAGAAAGAGTGGCCACGACCTTTGAGAGAGTATGAAAGATTAGGTATAGCAACTCCTTCTTCATCCTCATCTCTTCCTCCTCTTCCTCCTATGCTGAAAGCCTCATGAAGGCTGTCAGGAGAGGAGGAGGGGGAGAGGAGGTCTGTTGTGAACCAGCTGGAACTGAGGGGAACGAGGACATCAACAAGACTAGGAGTCAAATAGTCATCTAATAGACTAGGATACTTCTCCATGAGCAACTGGGGGAAGAGGAAGGGGAGAAAAAATGAAAATAAAAACAATAAATAAAACTTAAGATATTGAGTATAAATAATTTCAAACAAAAACAATACAAGATAAAATACCAAGATTTAATAATGCACAAGTACATGTACATATACCAAATGTAAAAATAATTGAACAGTATTACAATACAATATTAAGTACTAAATACATGTATACATGTACATGTAAATATACATACTCATATTACAGACCTGGTCTATTTCCTCAGTCACAATCCTGAGCAGTACAGCTTCTTTCTCTCTAGTAGCAGTTTTCAAGAGGACATCAATACGCCCACAGTACTGGGTCGACTCTGGTCCCAGCTGACCACCTTCGTACACGACCAGCCACAACTTCGACCCGTCAATGTCCTCGAAAACAAAATGTTTCTGCCACAGGAAAAGCCGAGCACCCGTGGGTGTTACAAGAGGGTTAGCCGGTCGAGGAGGGAGAGAGGAGGGGGAGGAGGGAGTGAGGAGGGTATCCCCTTGAAGGAAGCGATGGAAGGCTAAGGCACGCAACACGCGCGATAATAAGTGACACCAGAAGAACGAGGGGAGGTACCCTAATATATAAACTCTCTTTGGACTCAGGTCCTCTAGATTCAACACGGTTTCGGCCGGAGGTAGGCGTGGCAATAAAGAGGGGATGAGGACAGCCCCCGGGACCAAGGGGGCACAGAGATCGACCGAAGTGAGGAAATCTATCAATTGGAGACCTGTTATACCGGCTGAGTTATTATCATCGGCAAATAGGACCGGGTCGACGCCCCAAATCATGGCCGGGTGGACGTTGGGAAGGAATCCAGAAAGGATGCTACCCTCCCCATGCATCTCACCCGATCTGATGGTACGCTGGAGAAGGAACCCGATTATCTGTGGGTTGATGGCTACCACTGGTGAGTTCCTGTCATCTACTCGCGGAGAATCATGTAAAAATACTACACCTCTCTAAAAAAATATTTAAAAATTAAAATTTGCATATAAAATGTGTTCAAATATAAACTTATTCCTTATAAATTTATACGGCATTTTTACATCTTTTATCAATATTATTATTATTATTATTATTATTATTATTATTATTATTATTATAGTTTTTTATTATGTATAGTCTTTGCTTACTTTGTGTAGGAATCTCAATACAGTGAGGAAGTCGGAGGCAGTTATATCAAGCTGTTTCAATGGTCGTCTTAGTCTCTCTCTGATGTCATTGAATGAATGGAATGGCTTCAATTCTCCTTCAGTCTTTACTGTTTTTAAATGTCCTCTTAACTGACGAATGAGGTCTTCAACCTACAGAGAGAGAGAGAGAGAGAGAGAACAGAATATATATACAGAAAAAGAATGAATCAAATACTTCAACTTCAATACCATAAAATGGGTAATTTTGGAGGTGCTTAAACTCATTGAATTTGTCATTTGCCATAATTAAATCAATCATCTTGTGCTATTATAACACATTATCACATTTAAAAATCAACAATTACTAGGAATAAAAGTAGCTATAGGTAACTAATTATCTACTCTTGCTACAAATGTGACAACAAGATTTTCCAAATATTTATCACACCAATTTGGCACCAAAGCTACCAATTTACCATTATGGTACATGTCTACAACTATGCATGTACATGTACAGTACATACAAAATTAGCGATCCATCCTCTCTCTCTCTCTTTCTCTCTCAAACTTACCTGTAAGTACATGGTTGGTATTTCAATCCCGATTGTCAATAAGGCAGGGTGTGTTGTCCTAAAGGACCCCGCCCCTATCCTATAGAGGGTCTTACGTAACTGGGAGATACCCTCTCCGGTGGTACAGCTCACGAAATGAGGCTCAGTAATAACAAGAGGCATTAGAGGGACAATGTGACCCGAGAACTCCATCTGGTCTAGGGAGGATTGGATACGCTCGTGAGCCGAGCTCCTACCATCAATATCCTGTGAGGAAGGGAAGGGGAGAAGAGGGAGAGAATCAAGGAAAGTATAAAAGGGTATGAAAAATGAGGAAAGTGTATTTAATAATGATGACAGAATATTTGCGACTTATGCTGCATTTACACTACAGAAGTGGGCCAAACTGTGCTGAACCAGGCTGAGCTAGCCCTGCTGTACTAACCATGCTGGCCTGGTTTGGCCCAGCTCACTTCAGCTCAGTTTGGTTACTGTTTACACTATCAAATGAAACTGTGCTGGCCCACTTTAAACAGGGCTGGCTCAGTTAAAGAAGCTAGTGTAAACACAGTATTATATGCATACAATAGTTACAATAAATGATATGAGTACATTTTACATGTACAGTAGATGCTATTATTATTGAATAAAATTGACTATCATTCACAAACAATAAATACAGTACAGTCATAATGGAGGTGAATAGTAAGGACATTTAACTCTAATAATAGATGTGTGGTAGAAGTCATGAACTAACCTGCAATGACTTCACAGTTTGACTCATAGAACTAGCCAGGAGTGTGAAAGCTGGAGAGGTCTCTGGTTTCTTACTGATGGACATGTTATACTTAACCCATTCACTCCTGCTCTTCTTCTCAGACTCCCTGACCTCCCTCGTCTGGCACGAGTCAAGATGAGTGAAGACCAGTAACACAGGGACCCTCTCCTCAGAGAAGGATTGTATGTCAGAGAGCCAGCTAATGATCTCAGAATATCCTAAAATAATATTAAAAATTAATAATAACTACATGTACATGTACATACATGCATACACTGTATTTCAATAAATACACATATTGTACATGTATATACATGCACATGTACTTGTAGAAAGGGTATAAAATTTGCTAGGCGGAGATATATGTGGAAGGAGAGAAATAAAGATACACATGTACATCTATATGCATAATACTAACCAGTATTGATATTAAAGACAGCGATATGGAGTGAGTCCTTGCAGTCAAAACAAGAATACACAGACTTGTAGCGCGAGGAACCAGTAAAGTCCCAAAGATCAAAGGTCACCATGTTACGTCGGAGGACGTCACCTTTGTACTTCCACTCGGAGACCTTATAATAGCAAAGTGTAATACTAATAATTTTATACAGTTTTCATGCAGTTATATTGGGAATATTGATTAAACTATAACAGGTAGTGTACATGCATACATCAATTTCATTATTACTAGTTCAGTATCTACAAAATCTAGCAGAGTAAAACGTACAGTAAAATTGTCAAAACTTAGTACCAGTAAAATTAAAAGGTTTTTAAAGGCAAATGCACATACGATGCAAAAAATACTGTATAACGGGAAATTTTGGAGGGAATTAAATTTGGCATTTTGATATCCATTCGCCAAAATAAAACCTGGCATTTTGAGCCATTATACGCATGCTCAATGGCACATGGCCACAAATTTGCCAAATTTAACTCTCTGCAAATTTCCAACTATACAGTACTAGACTCTCATTATCATCTTTCCCACCTCAAGGCCTTTGGTTGGGTTAATACCATCAACAGGATCTCCTTTCAGTCTGGCCACTAGCGAAGTCTTACCGACCGACTCTGGGCCAACTAGGACGACTCTTAAACTGGTAATGGGCTGAGAGGACTTGTGCTTGTAGTGAAGGTAACTGAGTATAGCCTGAGTACCAAGGGAGGGTATGGGGTCTGGGGGATCGGAGAGGGTGAGGCCATTAAAGAGGAGAGTGTGCAAGTGTGACATTAGGCCGAGCTCTGGGGGCAGGGACTTAATCTAAAAGAAAAGAAGGAGAGAGAAAAGAAAGAATATATGGGTAGATAGGATTTTGGCAGAGTCCTCATGCAGCTTCTTGTCAGTGGATTGTCAAGTTGATCAAAAACTAGGCCAAAGGTCCTGGTATGTTGACAAAAAAGACAAGGAGTAAATTCTCTATTTTTATATTCTTTCAGATGCATATACATGTACACATACACACTCTTAATGCTACTTATGTTGTGTAGAAAGTTTGAACTGATTCCAATCAAAATTGGATTTTTTACAAATTTTAAAAGTTGCTCCAAATGCCATGTACTGTATTGTAGTGCTTGTCAGCTCATGAAGCTCATGCTGTTTAGCTCACTTAGCATGCTTTGTGGGAATATTAAATGTACATACATGTACATGTGCATGTGCATGTACATCTACATCTACATGTACATGTATATATAACTGTACAATGTAATTTTTTATCTACACATATTAATAATAATTCATTGACCAGACCCACCTTAGTATTACCGCTAAGATCAAGATGCATCAAGGCTCTACTAATTAATATCCACTTGGGGCAAACATTGAGCTCATTATAACTAACATCAATGGACCACAATTTCGTAAAAAACATAGTCCCAGCTCCGCCTAATTTCTTATGAGCTGACGGAGACGAGAGGGCATCGCCCATAAGCTTATTATGTGAAACGTTGAGTACCTTCAAGTGGGTGTGGCCCCAATGTGCATACGAGGGAAGAGAAGAAAGAAAATTATGCGAGAGATTAAGGTAAGTGAGAGAAGGCAACTGACATAATTCAACCGGGATCTCACATAATAAATTACGAGAGAAGTCGACGTGAGTAATGGAGGAGAGAGGGAGGAGGTCTTGGAAGAAGCTGGACGGAATGAGAGTAAGAGAAATGTCGGATAGTTGGAGGAGGTGAGTCTTGCTTAGTTGGAGGCTGGGTCTAGTGTCGATGATGGTTTGTGGTTCATCGTCTTCGTCTAGTTCGGATTCTTCGCCTCTCTCGGAGAACTCTGGTCTCTTGATGATGGAGAATTTTGAGAGAGTCTAAACAATAATAATAATAATAATAATAATAATAATAATGTTAGTTATTAAAAAATAATAAAATTATGATTAAAAATAATTATTCTTAAAGTCACATGGTCCCTTATTAAAGTCACATGAGTCCACAGTCCTTACTTTGGGAGGGTATTCCCCTAGCAGATAAGCTCCCACTGTCTCGTCGTATTTTCTGATAAGGTCCTCAGATATCTCGTACCCCAAGTCTCTTAAGTGCGTTAGTATGTTAGCAGACCCTGTTGTTAGTGCCCACTCCATAGTCTATAAAGGAGAAGAAAAGAAGATATAATGATTGAAGTACTTGTATATGTACATGTACAGTGTACCTCAGTAATAAATGAAGCATTTTCTTGGGCAGTGTCAAATCTTAACTAAAATAAGAAAAATGGTATCATAGTAATACAATATAATATACTGCCATTTTAAAATGTGCTATTTTCTGAAAAATACCAGCCTATGGTTTTTCCAAAAAATGGCTCTGAAATCACCCCCAATTTTTATTACATTTTCTGATACATGTTGATGTCCTTATGCTATGCAGAAAGTGTGAGCTGATTCTGACTTCAAATTTTCTAGTTATTGCCATTTTTAAAATGTGCTATTTTCAGGAAAATACCCTGTACTATAGCCCATGGTTTTTCCAAAAAATGGCTCCAAAATCACCCCCAATTTTTATTATATTTTCTGATACATACTGATGTCCTTATACTGTGCAGAAATTCTGAACTGATTCCGACTTCAAATTTTCGAGTTATGGCCATTTTTAAAATGTGCTATTTTCAGGAAAATACCCTGTACTATAATAGCCCATGGTTTTTCCAAAAATGGCTCCAAAATCACTCCTAAATTTTATTACATTTCCTGGTACATGTTGATGTCCTTATGCTATATAAAAAGTTTGAGCTGATTCCGACTTCAAATAATTAAGTTATGGCCAATTTTAAAATTAGCCATTTCCTGGAAAATACCCTGTATTATATAGCCCATGATTATTGCAAAAAATGGCTCTGAAATCACCCCCAATTTGTATTACATTATCTGATACATGTTGATGTACATGTACTTGTACTCACCACATGATCATTAATGAGCGGGCGAGCCAGTACTTCCTTAAACAAAGCACTGATACTCTCTGTAGGACCGTTAGCAATCTCGTAATAAGGAGTACCATTTCGATGCCCAGAACAGAAACTCTATTTTAAAAGACAACCATAGTAGACTACTAACAACTACTACTGATAATAATAATGATAATTGTATTTTCTAAAATTATTTTTTATAAAGCATGTAAGGGTTTTATACTTATCAGTTTACTTTTATAGTTAAATAAACACTTTAAAAAATCCAGTCTTAATAAATAGCATGCCGTGTAGCAGAAAATTTTGGAGGGGATTAATTTTGGCTAATTTGGCATTTTGATAGCCATTTGCCAGAATAAAAATCTACCATTTAGAGCCATTATGTGCATGCTCAATGGCACGTGGCCACAAATTTGCCAAATTAAAATTCACCAATGATCAAAATTTAGCAATTCGTCAAATTTTAGTCCCTCCAAAATTTCCCGCTATACAGTATTTTATCTCACCTCTGCTTCTTCAGTCGTCACGTGATGCGGTTTCCTAAGATCAGCTTTAGCCCCAATGACAACAACGTGAGCACTAGGACAAACCCTGTGACTCATTTCAAGGAGTTGAGACAGCTCCATGTAAGTCTCCTGCAGGAAGAAAAGGGAGAGAGAGAGAGAGGAGAGAGAGGGAGAGAGAGAGAGAGGAGGGGAAAGAAGGGAAAGAGTGAAGGATATTCTTATTTTACCTCTAACCCCCCCCTCTCTCTCTCCCCATCCCTCACATGGCTAGTAATGTCAAACAGTATGATGGATAATATTGCTCTGGTGGTTAGCTCTGGCTCTTCAACCTAAACAAAATCAAAATCAAATCAAAATCAAATCAAAATCAGAATCAACCTAAGTACATGTAAAACAAAAATTCCTAAAGTTAATTATAATAATTTATAAGTATGCCTGCACTGTATCTAACTGAAACTGAAAGTCTTTAGAGTTACACTTCATCAGGTATACTAGTGAATGAGTGTATACACTCTATCAATTGTACCGAAAATAACAAACAACAAAACAAAAGAAATATTATCATAAATACGGAAAGCAAAGAAAGTGTCATAAAGAACACAGACAGACCACTAAGAGTGTATAAACATACATAATACCATGTAGCATACAAAATAACTACAATACTACACCTACTGGGACTATCTGTTACAATACTACACCTAGTGGAACAATTTTACAATAATTAAGCTTGCATTGTGTACTGGGATAAGTACAACGAACACGCATTATAATGTAGGAGAAAGGGAATGAGGAAAATAAGAAGTTGGAGCTAAGGAAAAGGAAAAAAATGAACAAAGTCTTGCAAGACGAGAGACAGGAGAGGAAAAAATAAGAGATGGAAAAACAAAAGAAAATTTAGATAGAAAATAGGAGACAAGAAGATAGAAATGAAGAGCATACAATTTTGACTGGCACTTCTCTGCCACACATCTTGACACTGCCAGTAATGTAACGCTGATTACCAGCTTCACGTTTCCTCTCAAACTGACCCTGCAGGGAAACAGGAGGAGATGGTTTACAGATGGTAAAACTATTGATAAAAATTGTATACATACCTCTAAGGCATTCGAGATAAAAGTGGACTTTCCTACCCCAGGGCAACCGAAAACTGCTACAATTACTTCAGTCCTAAATAGATCAGGGATAGAAGCAGAGAGAGGCAATGAATAAAGGAGAGAGAGAGGGAATGAAGATTGGAGATGTAGCTTACCCGTCCATTTTCTAGCAGAGAACTAGAACTGGAAAGGGCATGTCCTCGTTATTAAAAATTTAATGATTATAATCTAAAATGGGCGTGACCAATAATGAAATGTACGCATCCACGCCTCTAATGAATTGGGCAATTTTTGGCTTCGTTTTTCTTCGGAAGAAGAAGAATAGACGCGACAAGAGCCAAGGAAAGCAGCAGAGCGACTCCGTTGAACAAGCAGAAGAGCTGACTGTCAGTGCACAGTAGCTTATAAACTCTGTATCTACTGTTCTCGTCTAGTCCCTAGTCTCTGATTTATTACGAACCTTCATTTCTTGAAAACAAGAAACGCTAGTTTGTACAAAAGAAAAGAAGACAGATACTTCTGTTACTCTACCATCATCAGGATATACTTCCATTGCAAGGCTTGTAGTCCTCAAGGTTGCTAGACGCTGTATTTTTCATTTCAATTGTTTTTTGGAGGGTGTCCCATTGTTTGGAGCAAAGGAGTGTCATTGTGTAAACAGGACCAGTAAACAACAACAAGTTACAGCTGTATTCTGCACAAACTCACCAAGAACGTCAAAAAGATGGAGCCTGTCTTATGGCAATCCAAAGACCTACCTGTTAATCCAAAACATGTAATCCTACTGGATCACTTCCTACCATCATTCAGTCCAGCTCCTTCTTCCTCTGCTGGGAGCGGTTATGAAAGTGGGCGACAGCAGACCTTTAGTCCACCATCAGCTTGTCCAATATCACCCGATTCCTCGATCCTCTCTTCTTCCTTCTCTCCTTTTTCTCCTCAGCTCTGCGAGCCTTTCTCAGCTCAGTATCTGCTAGTTTCAAGTGAGCCTGGTTTCTCGTTTGGCGTGGCCACTTGTGGCCCGAATCCCACGGAGTTTGAGCACCTCTCAATACCTCTACTTCAAGATATTGTAGACGCTAGTCAGTCCAACAGTGAGCCTAGTCCTCAGTCCCTTGAACTCACAGCTGCATTCACAATGGCTAACATACAGTCCTCACTTATCTCGGGTGAGAACCAGCTCTGGGTCGGGACAGAGAAAGGGACTCTTCATTCGTTAGATCTCTCTCAGGAAAGTACCGGATTTAAGTTAAAAAACCACCAATGCATAGGCCTCAATGTCCCCATTCTAACGCTTGCAGTGCGAGCATCAAACTCGGTCCATTCTTCCATGTCCTCATCCCCCACGTCAACTCTAAGAAGTGAAGGCACTAGGGGTGAAGTTCTTGTTGGAACTCCCTATGGATACGCCGTGGTGTTTGAAGGACTCGTAGAAAGAGACGGCCGTTTTAAAGAACACTTAAACAAGCTATCGCAGAGAATAATCCGACTCTCAAATTCCCCAACGGATTGCTCGGTCCATTGCATCGCCCACGTACCACTAGAGGGCCAGTGCGATACCTACTGGTGCTCATTCGGAGGTAACATTGGGATATTCCGAGGGACCGATTGGTGCAAGCTGGGGTCACTGGATGCAAGGGATGGCCTCCATTTATCGGCTACTAGGAATAGAAGCGAAGTTAACCAACTGATAGTTTGTGATGTAGGAGTCTGGACTTCAGTTGCTCACTGCACTACTGTTGTGTTGAGAGATAAGAATGACTTCAGTCCTAAAATACAATTGACATATTGGTAAGGAGAGAGAGAGGGGGGAGAGAGCTAGAGAGAGAGAGAGAGAGGGAGGGTGGGTGGGTGGGTGTATATTATCTATAGAATAGATAAAAGACGCTGAACATTTTTGTTAGATGAGAGAGTGAGAGGATGTTTTGGAGGCTATGTTATTTCACATGTCACATGTTCACTTGTGGTCAAACATATATCATAGCCCATTGCTATTACTGTCAGTGTAGGGCGTGCTAGACTAAACCTCATTTTCAGTGATTAGAGTACATGATACATTACATTAGCATTACATGCATATACAGTACATGTAGATGAGGTTGTTTTTGCATATTTGATACATTAGACTCAGCAATTTCATACTAAAGTAAACACTTGCACATACAGTACAGTATGTGGGGTTACATACTTTGTGAACATTCAACTTTTACTTAAATGCACCTGCTCCAATTATTCAATCTAGCAAGCATGTAATTAGTACATCATGTACATGTACATAATCTATTGACATTTCTCAGCCAATTACTTGTTAGTAATAAATGTAAGTACATGTAACTACATGTATGTATGTATGTTTTCTGTATTGAAACTTTGTTAAGTGACTCTTTCAGTGTATAATTTGGCAGTATGACATTGTTTACTACATCAGCTATTGGATTAAAATTTACATTAAATAATAAATGAACTTTGATGATTATAATAATAGCTATAATAATACGATACCAGTATCTATACTGTAACTCTATATCTCTTAGTGAATGCATACATGTACAGGTGCAGGAAATGTTTGCCCATAGCAATCTAATAGGAAATAAGTATAATTCTGTTATCATGAAGTATAATGTGTTTTTGAATGGAGAGAGATGCTGTGCATGTGCCAACCATATGGACTACATGAGTTATGACTATATACAAATCTACTTGTGTTTACTTTCAGTGAAAGCATCATGAGTACAGAGACATACTAAGGGATGACATAGAGAGAGAGAGAGATAAGAAAGAAAGGGAAAAGCTTTAGTTTATGAGAAAATGATGAGAAAGAGATAGAGGGGGGAGAGAAAGGGCTGAGGGAGGAGTGGGGGAGAGTCAGAGGTTGATAAAAACAAAGTCTTGTCATAATAGTGAAAGCTGTAATGAGTATAGCCTGTATTCATCATGGTCACAAGACAGTCCTTGTGTAAACTGTCACCTTTCTCTTCTAATGGTTTACTGTGTGTTTTATAAGATAATGTGTGGTCATGAGATCAGTGATGAATAGACTTAGGAATGTGAATATTATTTGTGAGAGTGTAGAATGTACATGCCCTCTCATGAATTGGATATACTGTCAATGAGTTTCCTTTTTTGGCTTCTGTTCACTTTTTGTTCCGTTGTACATGAATTTGATGACCTTAGAAAGACTATACTTAATATCCTCTTTCAATCTCCCTCTCTCTCTCTCCCCCTCTCCCTCCCCCCCCTCTCTCTCTCTCCCTCCCTCCCTCCCCCCTCTCTCTCTCTCTCTTTCTTTAGTGATCCCCATCACTCGAGGCAGCAGCGCTCACAAATCACGACCATACACTACTCAAACTCATTCCTGTTCATTGGTACCAAGAAAGGCGACGTCATGGTCTTCAGAATAGACTCCTCCCTAAACCAATCTGACCCCTCCCCTTCATCATCTCTCTCGTACAAATTCATGGCTAGTACGCAGGTCACCTCTAGACCGATACAACAAATATTCACGACAGACGAGACCCTTCCTATATCAATGTCCACCCCTCCTATATCCACTGACCCGTTTGACGAAAGGCTGAACAGCCGATTACAAGACACGCCCCTTTTTCACTCCGCCATGCACCTTCTGATCGTGACAGGCGGAGACAGAGAACAGATTCATTTGTACGAGCTCTCCCTTTCCCCTCCTCCAAGTGTGAGAAGCTCTTGTACCGTGTCTCCTTTAAGCTACACATCACAGAGAAGCAACAGTTTGAGGATGACACCTCAGAAAGTGACTGTTGTCTCGTCAAGGATTGACTACATGCCTCTCAGAGATAAGAGTTAGAAAGAGTAAATATTATAATTATTATACATGTGTTACTCTTGTACACATATATGTATATTCACTTTTTATTGGACATGATATATTATTAAGGTCACATTATACATAATACATATACATGCTCATCCATAATATTCTATCACCATTTATCAGCATAAGCTACATATACACATGTACACTTCTATTATGCAGGGTCTACAGGATACTGTGTATTATTATTATTATTATTATTATTATTATTATTGCTATTTTTGTTAATGCTTCATAACATTGCCATATATTATTATTATTATTATTATTATTATCAGCTGCAACAGATTTATATAGGCACAGCTATAATATAGTTTATAATTTTTAAAAAATTATTATTTATGCTATTTTTCTCTTATTATGCAATCAATCTGTACCATATAACGCACCTTATATTATTTAATATATTATAAATATTATTATTAATTTATTATTATTATTATTATTATGTGCTATTATTATTTTATTATTATGTGCTATTTTGAATTATTGTTTTTATGTTGTGATATTTTTTTAGTGAAATAAAAAATAAATAAATGAAAATAAATTCCTTCAAAGATTGCATCAGCTTTTATTGATGGGCGTGGTCACAGCAGTCATTATAATCATCGTCTGTGATTCTCTTTATTTTTGATGTTTATCCCTGCTAATGGATCAGGGCGTGTCTATATAAGGAAAGAGAGTCTGAGTATATTTTTAGAATCATTAATACAACAATTCCCTCAACAGCACAAGGATGGAGCATGAAGAGAATTCATTCATCATGTGTCAACTATTGAGTATAATACATAGTGACATATAATCATGATAAGAGAATTAACACATGGACTAATGCACGCACAGAATATAATGACAATACACGTGTACTTAATACACACTACACGGATACTGCAATACATTACATACATATTCATGCCCATACATATGGACATGTATACATATGAGTATGTACATGTACATGTACATACTCATATGTATATGTACACATGTACATTGTTTATGTTTAGTGCAAATAAACACTCATTTTGTTATAGTATACACTGTCTGTTAAAAACAAATTAAGCTTTTAAAAACAAACACATGTTTACATGTAACTATATGCACACGTATACCGTATAGGGGTTTTATTTTGTTGGTATAAAATTTTGCGAATCTTGCCTTCTGCAGCCATCTTTACTAGTGTGCCATACCTCTTTTTGGAATTTAACTTCGCAAATTAATAAAAATGCACAAAATTAGCAAAATTTATTTCCAGTGAAATATAACCACTATACGGTATGTGACAGCAATGTGAAACTACATGTAACAGGTATAACACTAATAAGTATATATCAATCATTTTAGGTATGGGTAACAATAGACTAAACCTGACTACATGTAATGTACTAAACGTGAATGTAATAAACTGGATAACTAGAACTAAGGACTATAATTATTCATGCATGTGCAATACGTATAATAAATCTATAGTATGTATATTTATTCACTTACAAATATGGTTGGTTGTGGTTGAGAGGTGAGAGGAGGAGGGTAGCATTTCCTGTGAGGAGGTGGCCGTACCTGAGAACTGGAGTAACCCTCTCCACCACCTCTGCCGATACTAGCTACCAGATTCTTTATGATTGATACCTCCTGTAATAAAGAGGAGTAAAACAGTCTCACTACTCTCTGCTTGGAATGGTTAGATGTACATATGTACATAGCAAAACATCAATGTAGTAAAAATTGGGGGTGATTTCGAAGCTATTTTTGGAAAAAAAACCATGGTTCAGATATTGGCCCATTTTTTCAAATGGCCATAACTTGAAAATTTGAAGTCGGAATCGGCTCAAACTTTCTACATAGCATAAGGACATCATTATGTATCAGAAAATGTAATAAAAGTTGAGGGTGATTTTGGAGCCATTTTTTGGAAAAAACCATGGGCTATAGTACAGGGAAATTTTCCAAAAATGGCCTATTTCTTAAAATGGCCGTAACTTGAAAAATTGAAGTCGGAATCAACTATAACATTCTACATAGCATAAGGACATCATTATGTATCAGAAAATGTAATAAAAATTGAGGGTGATTTCCGAGCCATTTTTTGGAAAAAACCATGGGCTAGGAAATTTTCCAAAAATGGCCTATTTCTTAAAATGGCCGTAACTTGAAAAATTGAAGTTGGAATCAACTCAAACTTTCTACATAGCATAAGGACATCATTATGTATCAGAAAATGTAATAAAAATTGAGGGTGATTTCGGAGCCATTTTTTGGAAAAAACCATGGGCTATAAGTACAGGGAAATTTTCCAAAAATGGCCTATTTCTTAAAATGGCCGTAACTTGAAAAATTGAAGTCGGAATCAACTCAAACTTTCTACATAGCATAAGGACATCATTATGTATCAGAAAATGTAATAAAAATTGAGGGTGATTTCGGAGCCATTTTTTGGAAAAAACCATGGGCATGCATTACAAATGAGAGGAAACGAGTGTCTCTCACTTCTTGATGGGAGAGCAGTCTCTCCAGATCAAGTGACAGCTTATTCTTTTCTTCTATAACTTGCTTTAACTTCTTCTCTAAAACACTATACAAAAATAAACAAAACATGAAGTAAAAAATCCAACACTCTCTCTTCATATTCAATGCACCTGATCCTTTTCTCCAGGGTAGCATTAGTCTCTGTCAGTTTTTCTATCTTCTTATCTCTTCCTTGGAGTGTCTCCATTAAATATTTGTGTGGTTGACTTGATAACTCAAACTGAGACTTCATTTGAGTTAACTAGAGAAACACAAATAATTAATAGCAAAGTTATTTTACAAAGTTTAATCTGCATGTTATTTTTTGATTGATTTGTGAAGATTAAATTTACTATTTGAAAATTCCCCACTATATACAGTACTACCCTCCTTCTCTCCTCTCTCTCTCTCTCCCTCCCTCCCTCCCTCCCTCCCTCTCTCCCTCCCTCCCTCCCTCCCTCCTCTCTCTCTCTCTCTCTCACTTCTCCATTTAGTGTGTTCTTTTCTTTCTCTTGAGTCCCAAGCTGCTGCCGTAAAGACGCATTGATTCGCTCTAGTTTTAAAACCCTCCGAGCCAACTGAACACTAATAATAATAATAATAATAATGATGATAATTTCTGTTGTGTTTTCATTGTATTCTTCCCCAGGGTAGTGGTAATAATCAAATATGTGGAAATGTAAAAACCCTGGCTAAATACCTGACAAGATTTATTGTTGCACTAAATTTATTTGTTTTGTACTTTAGAAAATACAAACCACTATCATGCATGATGTTGGTTCCTGTAGTTACCAGTGCAGCAACCCAGTATTTACTCCTCTGATAATTGAATTGTTGAGCTAAATCAGCTTGCATAACATGTCAAAAGCACTACGTAGTAAAGGAGTAATAATAAGGTGCACACTTTCACTGTACTGTAACAACTGCCATGCTGTCAGTTTGTAACCACACACAAACATCCTCACATGTTATTTAGAATATGAAGAATGCAATCAAAACTATAGCAATCAACATAAGCAGCTTTTAATACATGTACCTACAGTGGTAATACATTGCATGTAGGACAAGTTAGTTTTGAAATTATACGTGCAAAACATATTATTGTTTTTGTTTGTGCTGACGAGGCTAATGCACCAACGGTGTCTCGTTAAAGCAGTAAACTATTTAAGAAAGGGAATGACCCAGGTACTTCCCCTCCGCTTAAATACGGCTATATATATAACCTCACCTTTTTTGATCATTAGCTTGGAAAGAAGTATTCCGTAAATCATGTCTGAATGGAATTCAACTTTTGACGTAGAGCCTTTTGCTAAAGGAAGATTTAGGTATGCTTTCAAGGGGCGCTATACCCAGCATGCTACTAAATGTGGACAGAGTATTGTAGTAAAGAAATTCAAAGACAATTACATTTGGGAACGAAAAGGTTGGGACTCCACCTTGAAGATTTACTCTAAAGCTCAAGAATATGCCTCAGGATTTGGAAGAGGATTGGAATTTAATACATGTGAAACTGGTAAAGTTACATTTGCTGGCTCTAGTACAAAAGTCCAGGTCAATGAGTACACAGTGCTTGAAGATTATCTTGAAGGGAAATACATCAAATGGTGCAACAATTATGGCTATGTGTCATCTGAAGCTAGAGGAGTGGACCAAATTTTGACAGCCTTCATGCACTGGAGCTGGATAAGAAGCAGAGGAGAGGAAATGGTTTCTGATATACAAGGAGTGAAGAATGGAAGTCGCTATAGATTAACAGATCCTGCTATGCTCTCTGTTAAAAGGGAGTATGGAGTGACTGATACCGGGATTGAAGGAATGGCAATGTTTTTTCTCATTCATCAATGCTCTGGCCCTTGTAATGATTTGCCTAAGCCAACATTGGCCCAGTTTGTTGATAAGATACCTAATGAAATGATGCAGGAAGCTCTTGCTTTGCAGCAGTTATCAGCCAGGGGAACCACTTATTCACACGAAACTAAGTTTCCTGAGCCAGTTAGAAAGGCTCTTATTCCTGTTTTTTTAGCTATTGCTCAAGGACAGTAGACAATACTTTATAAAACTGTAGTTTAGGTCTTAGGTTTCACGTGTGCTTACTTTTTGTTCCATTTTTATCCTATTATGTCTTGCGTGTTATAGATTTTTTGATGTAATGAGATATGTTATTGCAAAATTAAATATTAACGTAACATTTTTATGTAATACCGTATAAGTGATTTTTTCGAGGGTTGCAAATTTCGCGAATTTCGCGGATTCCCTCCTAATTCGCAAAAATAAAATCTACGAAAATCAATTTAATACGGTACCCGCATGGCACACGTGGTAGGATTCGCGAAATTAAAATCTGCGAATTGGAATTTTAGCAGATTTCGCGAAATATAATTCCCTAAAAAAAACCACTTATACGGTATTATAGTATGGTAGACAGGTCTGTATCCATTTTAGCAGACCCGAGGCAGAGGTTGAGGGTGTTACTGGTTGGATAGCAGCCCGAGGCGAAGCCTAAGGCTGCTATCCAGCCCTTAATGTTTTAGTTATTATTATTATTATTATCATTGTACAAATATTATACCTTTGCTGCATCCTACGTCTTGAGCTGCTAGGAACACTAGTACCAAAACCATACGAATAAAGGACATGCTCTACGCCATCAGCATCACCCTCAACTATAAAAAAAATAAAAAATTAATTAATGTGGGTGGGGTTTGAAATGGACTATGAATTTTAATTACATTATTGACAAAACATTAAACTATAAATATTTACACTCTTTTCCTAGCTCTCTCACTTTTTGCTGCTTGTAGTACAACATCATCCAATTCAGTCTCCAGCTGCTCATATCCCTCCAATCTGTTCTTTGTCTCTTTGAACTTATACTCCAAATCTTTCACTAAACTCTGTAGCTCATTAATAGTGATCTCTGATTTACTACTGAGAACCTAGTGGAATTAACATACACATGTACTCAATTACATTTTGATGTATATAATCAATTTAGGAAATAGAATATCATAAAAGTAATGTTAAAATTGAAATCTAATTGCTTAAATAATAGATGTAGATGCATGCAGTTTCAAGATATCTTACTGTACATGCGATATAATTATAAATTATTATTTTATATCTTACGTCTAGTTTCTCTCTCAGTTGCTCCTTCTCTCTCTCACTCTTCCTCAGTGACTGAGCTGTCTCTTCATAAAGGAGACCGACTCTCTCCAGCTCAAAGGTTTTCAGTTGCAGCTGAGAATTGAGATCAGTGACACAACCATCACTGGATACCTGAAACTTCCTTAGTCTAAAAAAAGAGGAGAGAGAGAGAGAGGAGAAGAAAAGAATCCAATTTAAATATGCATGTACAATTGTACATGTATTATTGTATGATACATGAACCATCTATTTTATGAGATTGGAAATTTTTAAAAATTACTAATACGTGTACATCACATACACAAAAATTAAACCACACAAATACTTTTCAGATGCAAAAATTCTGCACTGCATAAATTTCAATATACTACCGTATAGTGGAAAATTTTTGTGGCCCAAAATTTTCATGGATCCATCCAAAAATCAATTTTGTGGCTCTAATTTTTGTGGTTTTCTACATTTTGGCCATCTTGAACCGTATAGAATCGATTTTCGTGGATTTTATTTTTGTGGGTTTTGGAAAAAAGGGGAATTCCACAAAAATTTTTCGCTATATGGTATATGGTAACATACAGTGCATTCACATTGTAGTATACATGTACATGTATATTGGTAGTAAAGTTGCTGTACTCACTCATTGTGAATGTGTTCATATTTTTCCTCCAACTCTCTTTGTTTCTCCATGGCTCTCTCCCTCTCTGCAAAGGCGGAGTCCCTGGCTTGTCGTAGTGCCTGGTTCTCCCTCTCGTACATCTCTCTAGTCTGAGCTTTCAACTGATCCATCTCAGAGTTTGTTCTAAGTCTCAGTGACTCTAGTTCATGCTGTAGTCTTGACTCATAATCATCCTTCTGCTCCTGTCTATTGATAAATGTATACAGTGTATGGAGTGTGATAAAGGAGAAAAGAGAAAAATACAGAAAAATTAAGAGGTGAAAGAGAGAGGGACAAATACACAATGTACATGTAACCCTCTTTCTCTCTCTCTTTTACTCAAATTGTTGTCAAAATACCAAAATTGCTAAAAATTAATTTCCATGCTATAAAGTAAATGAATATAGAAGAAGTTTGTTATTTGAAGGTTTTATTGTATATACTGTACATGTAACACAGTCTTAAATCTAATAATACACATTATACATTGTACAAGTACCCCAGGCCTTACCTTTGTTTAACCATTTGCTCATAGATCTCTTCCTTTGACTGCTTACAATCATTAAGTCTACAGAGTAAAGTCTCCACCTTCTCTTCATTCTCCCTCACACGATGAGAGAGGTCACACCTCTCCTTACTCAGATACTCTTTGTCTTGCTTGATGAGAGAGAGGGACTGCTGAGCAGATAATAACTGTGTCAACAAGCGATGCAAAAGAGGAAGTAAAGCAAATATTGATACTGGGAAAAGTATTATTTCAAGGACTACACCACATGTATAAGGCAATATAGCTTACAATAATTATGTACATGTATTTTACTGATTTCTTTCAAAGTTTGATTCAGGTACTTGTAGAAAAATTTATTTCTTGCCTGATACACAAGAACACTAATACCTTTCCTTCGCAAAGCGTGGGCGAGAGCAGCAAAGCAAACTATAATGGACACTGTGATAACTCCAAAATAACTTAGACCTACTCTTGCTTGGACTCATAACTTTAAATATCATTTATGTTTGTACTAGCCAAACATTAATTAATTGAAATCTAACTTAATTTTATTCTGTCAAGAGGGTGCTTTATTATTGGGGATATAACTAAAAACTGCACTTCTTTTATGTGCTTGGCATTATTTGTCCTGTTACAGCTTTATAATTGAGCAATAGCTAAAAGAAATGGTGTTGCATGAATCAAAAATATAAAGATTAAACTGTAACTAAATACAAAGCTGATCGGGAGCAGTAAAACATGCTCGGAACAATTGTCAGAGGCTATGGATACTCAGCCATTTTTGAATAAAACATCAAAGCCTGCTTGTCAAAGTTGTCATCTTCAGCCTTGAACACTCTGATCCTACGCTCAATCTCTTCAGCTGAAAGACGTCTTTCAAAATTGGTGACGGTGATTTTGTTCTCTTTTCTGGCATTCTTGTCAGAAGCAGAGACATTAAGGATACCGTCACGATCAATATCAAATATAACCTGGATCTGAGGTACTCCACGGGGAGCAGGAGGGATGCCAGAGAGCTGAAACATACCAAGGAGATTATTGTCCTTGGCCATGAAACTCTCTCCTTCATAGACCTGGATAAGGACACTTGACTGGTTGTCAGAGTAAGTTGTAAAAGTCACTTGTTCTTTCTTTGGTATGGTAGTGTTCCTTTTAATGAGAGCCGTGAAAAATCCTCCTGCTCTCTCAATACCGAGAGAAAGAGGAGCAACGTCAAGGAGAAGGAAATCCTGCACCTCCTCACTCTTGTCTCCGCTCAAAATGGCTGCATAGACAGCAGCTCCATAAGCGACAGCTTCATCAGGATTGATGGACTTGTTCAGTTCCTTCCCATTGAAGAAGTCCTGGAGGAGCTTCTGGATCTTAGGGATACGAGTGGAACCACCAACCAGAACAATATCATGTATTTGATCAACTCCTGCATCACGGAGTGCCTTCTCGACTAGTTCCAAGGTACGATGGAAGAGGTCAGCATTGAGTTCTTCAAAACGAGCACGAGTGATGGTAGTGTAGAAGTCAATGCCCTCAAAGAGAGAGTCAATCTCAATAAATGCTTGAGCACTGGAGGAGAGGGTCCTCTTAGCTCTCTCACAGGCGGTCCTGAGACGACAGACAGAACGTGGGTTGCTGGACATGTCCTTCATGTATTTACGTTGAAATTCCTTCATGAAGTAGTCAACCATACGAGAATCAAAATCCTCACCTCCCAAGTGAGTGTCACCAATAATAGACTTCACTTCAAATATGCCATTCTCAATTGCAAGGATGGAGACATCAAAATTACCCCCACCCAAATCAAAGATGAGGATATTCCTCTCTGTCCCAGCTTTTTTGTCCAGACTGTAGGCAATGGCAGCAGCCGTGGGCTCGTTGATGATACGTAGGACGTTGAGACCAGCAATAATTCCAGCATCTTTTGTTGCTTGACGTTGTGAAATATTGAAGTAAGCAGGAACTGTAATGACTACATCAGTGACAGTCTTCCCAAGGTAAGCCTCAGCTGTCTCCCTCATTTTAGTGAGGACCACAGAGGAAATCTCTTCAGCGTAGAAGGCCTTTGTCTCCCCCAAGTAGTCTACCAAGATCTTTGGGTGGCCATCAAGGTTAACTACAGAGAATGGCCAGTGCTTGCGGTCAGCGGCTACTGTAGGATCGTTGTACTTCCTTCCAATGAGTCGCTTGGCACCAAAGACCGTGTTAATCGAATTCATGGTGATACAGTTCTTTGCTGCATCTCCAACGAGAAACTCTGTGTCAGTGAAGGCGACATAGCTAGGGGTAGTCCTGTTCCCCCGGTCGTTGGGGATGATTTCTACTTTCCCATGCTGGAACACACCGACACAGGAGTAAGTAGTACCCAGATCAATACCGATAGCTGGTCCAGTTACTCTAAACATTAGGAATGCGTGTATGAGTTAGACCCAACCCCCTGGGTTTGATTATTTTAATAACTGCTATTTGTTTGTCAGCTCCTTGTATGTACTTTACTTATCGTAAAAAGTCACACAAATATCAGGATTACTCGAGCACTTTATAAAAGAGTGTAGAGTTTTAATGAGACTGTAATAAAATTAATTTAAAAAGTCCATTGCTGGTGACATAATGATCTATGTAAATACATCTTTGACATAGTAATGGTATAAAAGCTGGTTGTCGATTTGATAATAGCAAGCTGGAACGAATACCGGTAATAGCGAAAAAATCCTGATTCAGTGAAGTGGATCAGTGTAAACAAAGCCTAAGTTTACAATGCATGTATTATGTTGATTTTAATTTAATTTCATCCACAAGAAAGTAGTCTGGTACCACAACAGTACTTTCTCACAGAGTGTGAACAAACCAAACTATGTACACTATCAGAGGTGCATGAAGTGATGCTTTGAGATTTTTTATAAACCAATGGCAACAAAACACATTAGTATCATAGTATGTGAACAAGAGCAATGAATGTGCATTATTTTAGCTGTATCAACAAAGCACTTCAAAAAAGTGTCAGTGTATAAAAGGGCCTTAGAGATTGATAACTCTATTTTATGACAAACTAACTTACCGGTATGTTATTAGGAAGTAATTTCAAATTACTCCTCTCTTTTGACATAAATAATTACAGCTATAACTAAACTATATAAAAGAAAATGATGTAGTGCATCATAAATGTAACTGTAACTAAACATTGTGGAAGCTAGAACTATAAAATGCAATTCATGAACAAAAGTATAGCAAAAGTTTGGTAGCAACTGGTGTACAGATCTTCTCCAGTTCTTTCTGCTGGTGCTCAAAGTCTTCTTTCTTAGCAGTCTGATTCTTGTCAAGCCAGGCAATGACTTCCTTGCATTTATCCACAGCTTGAGTGCGTTCATCTTCACTCACTTTGTTCTTGACTTTATCACTATCCATTATACTCTTCATATCAAATGCATAGCTCTCAAGGGAATTCTTGGCAGCAATCCTTTCCCTCTGCTTGTCATCTTGAGCCTTAAACTCTTCTGCTTCCTTGACCATACGCTCAATCTCCTCAGCTGAGAGACGTCCTTTGTCATTGGTGAAGGTGATTTCGTTCTCTTTTCTAGTACTCTTGTCAGAGGCAGAGACATTGAGGATACTGTTACTATCAATATGAAATGTAAGTTCGATAATTTTAGGTACTCCAAAAGGAACAGGAGGGATGCCAGAGAGCTCAAACTTACCAAGGAGGTTATTGTCCTTGGTCATGACCCTCTCTCCTTCATAGACTTGGATAA